GGTCCATTAAAATGAAAATTAAAAGACAAATTGAATTGGTAAAATGTGCTGTCAGAGACCTCTGTATTACATATAGGTGTTCAAAATCAGATATGCATCTATTGTAATAATTATAAAATTCCTTACCTTTTTGCTTTTAGTCTTTCTCTTCTTTGGTTTATCTGTAACCTGATAGGCAAGAAATAAATAATTTATTTAATACACAGTTTAAACTATGTAATGGGTTATTTTTAAAAAATACATTTCTTCTCATTATTGAGACTTTCACCTTCTAATATTATTGATCATATTTTCTGTCTTGATTGTATGGAGACAATTGTTTTCACTGTTAACTGTTTGCATTTTAATCTCAGTCTTCTGCCCCTGAGATATCACCAATGTATAAAAGAACCAGCAAATGCAGTCGAGCAGGCAACTGGCAGGATGCTCACACTCTCACTTGTATATGTGTGCATGAATGAGTAACAAAGGAGGACGATTTTTAAAAACTCATACTTGGTTTTATAAGATGCATAAGCCTAAGAATAATTCAGTAACAACCTAATAACAGTTACCACGTATCGGCTAAGAAATACGAAGATCCTACTTGTGATAATTTTACTTCTCTTCAGGGCAAATGACACTGAAGCTACATCACCTCCTCTGCCCCTCTTCTTTCTCTTCCTATTCTTTCTGTGTCTTTCATTATCCTCCTACACCAATCTCATAACACTCAGGAAGATGAAATGTGTTCAGAAATCGACATACTGCTAGGCAAATAGTAAATGTTCAGTGAACACTGGCTGTATTAAAAAAACTATAGCAACACTAGGGAACTCTGGTGACCTAGTGGCAAGAAGCTGCACTGCAATCCCAGAGTTACAAAGTTCAAATCCATCATATGCTTTGCTGGAGAAGGAGTCGCAATCTCCTCCTATACCAGTCAGATCCAATTTGATGGTACACATACAAAGAATAATAATAATAAAAATTAATAAAAAAATTATAGCAATACTATGGAAAGAAAGCATCATCCCAATTCAAATCCTGCATGAACACTGTGTTAAATATACCAAGACTGTTGGGATTGCTTTAAGAATCGCACATGCAACAAAATAAGAGCCTGGATCAAGATTTTTAAATTAAAATACTGATGAAAGTTTATACTTCCTGGAGATCTTTAGTAGTTTCTGTTGAAGATTCACTGGGGAGGGACGCTCCATCTTTATTCACGTCTGCTAATTGTACATCAGGGTTGGAGTTCACATGCATATTGTACTCCATGAGAGGAGGACTTAGTTCTTCCTCTGCATTCTGTGACTCTTCTATTTCAACACCTAAATAATATAGGTAAATACTCAACTATCACATGTAAACAATTTCAGTCTCTGAAATTATTATAAGTGATTTCCCACAAAAAAGAAAACAAAACAAACCCACACCAAAACCGCACACCACAAACTCAGATAAAAACAGAAAACACTTTCTTTCCTCTGTCAATTACTAGGTGACAACACAATGCCAATCTGTCAATGATCAGATAAGGGGTACATATACTAGCCTGAGACCAATGAGTAGGAACCTGAATACTAATATCTCTTTACTAGTTATCATAAGAACAAGCATAATAGCTTAATTATTCTAAATAGTATCTTGAATATTTTTTTAGTATCTTGAAATTGAGCCTATAGTAAATATTATATATTTTAGGGCATATATAAAGTAAAAATAGGTCTTTTCTTTTCCCCTTTTTTACTTCTTATAACCCAAGGTTGAGATAGGGACATGCATCTCTATTACAAGGTGTTGTCCATTAACAGTTTCTTAATGCTGTCCCAGAGACTCAGCTTCAAGCCTTGAGGGCTTTGTCTCACAGGTCACAGATAGTCTAAAATTCAGTGCTGACCTAAGGCTGTTTTCTTAAGTATAATTGTAATTGTAGAATGTGAGTGACAGTTTTAAAAAATGAACATAACTATGGAAATTTAAAATAAAGATTATTCACTCTCTGCCTTATATATACTTAAATATATAGCTTTAGCAATATTTAGTTAACCAGATAAAAGTCACGCTACCTAAATAGCACACGTGAGCAGACAGAACAAGCAGGTAACTTCTGCCTGGTTAAGTATCCTATGAGTCCAAAAGTTACACAACTATCACTGGGTGATAAAATACTATCTCTGGGCATATGTACTAAGAGGACAGATTAAGTGTCACCACTAGGTTCAGCTAATCAGTAAGTCATTTCATTACATGCTTTTCTACGCTTTTAACAATTACAGCTTATCATACAGTTTATTTGGCCAAACAAAACTCTTACAAGTGTCTCTTAGGTATTTCAAGTTAAAAGATCCCTTTTGGTATTTTGTTTTTAAATATACTTACAGCGACAGCCTGTTATTGATTGTAGAGCAATTCCTGTAGTACATAAAGAAAAGATTTAGACTTGTATTTGCAATTGAAACCTTAAGATTTTGTATGAGACTAAAAAAAACAGTCAGAATAACTGTGTATCATACTAACCTTTACTGTAAAAATAACCAACCAGCTTCATTCATCAATTACCTTAAATAGACACATTCCTTAGATTGTAATATAAAGATTAAAGTGATTAAAGAAAGAATAATGAACAAAGTGTTTTGGTTCATAATAGATAAAACCTAGAGCATAAGTACTTCAAAGCAAACAGCAAATTCTCATAAGTTGTTTTTATTATGTAAAGTCTTAATAAAGTGAAAACAAATGTAAAAAAAAAACCCCAAACCTCCCCAAAACTCATACAATTTATAGGTCTAGTGTTCTTGTCTGACTGCCATATATCATCAAAATAAAATTCTTTTATTTTATGCTCAAAACAAGCCATCAGAGGAGAGTCAAGAAAGCACAAAAGTATATGGAGTTTTAATAAAAGGGCAGCTGCTGGGGTCTAGTCATGTTCTCCAAAGAAAATTCTCAACAGTTGAGAAACTTGTGAGGTTATGGTAGTTAAGCAATATGCTGTAGTCAACAGCCTCATTTCGCAGTATGAATTTAAAAACCGTTTAGGATCAGGGAATGCCACCTACAATAGCACAACAAAGGTTTCAGTGATGCTGAAACTGCACCCACAGTCCAGCGGCAGAAAGGAGACGGTGTTGTCACAGAGTATGAACAGAAGTGGTCAAGAAAAAGCCACTATTGTGCTCAGACACTTGCATTAACGTTAACTTTTTAAGGAAAAGTATTCACAATCAGTGGAGGTTATTGTTGTAGTTAGATGCCTCTGAGTCGACTACAACCCACAGCAACCCCATGGACAACAGACTGGAACCATGCCGGATCCTGCACTTGGTGACATCTGATATACCTGAGCCTACTCTTACTGTTACTGTGTCAATCCACCTTGTGAGGGTCTTTCTTTCTTTCATTGACTCTCTACTTTTCCAAGCATTATGTCTTTTTCCAAAAAGGGGCCCCTCTTAACAGCATGCTGAAAGTATGCGAGAAGTTTTAGTTTCATGCTCCTGAAGAGCACCCTGGTTGCACTTTTTCCATAAGATCAATTTATTTATTCTTTTGGCAGCCCAGGGCAGCCCTCCGCTCTTTGTCAAAGCCATAATTCAAGGGCATCCATTCCTTAGTCTTCCTTATTCACTGTCCAACGTGGTCACGTGGATAGGAAGCAACAGAAAATACCATGGCCTGGATCAGGCACACCTCTGTATTCTAGCACTTTAATGAGGTCCTGATAGTAAATTTGTTTCCAATGCAACTTGTCTTGGGATTTATTCATTGCTACTTCTGCAGGTGTTGATTTTGAAACCAAGTAACAAAACCATTGACAGCTTTAAGCTTCCCTCCATCTATCATTGTCTCTTGGTCAAGCTGTAAGAATTGTTGTTGTCTTGATGTTGTTTCAATGTGTAGCTGAAAAAATGCTAAATTAAACCTCAAACTTTGGGGGGGAAAATTGAGAAATATATATACTGACCCTAAGGATATTCTTGAAACCACGTAATAATCTTTAAACCCACTGCCATTAAGTCGATCTGACTCACGGCGACCCTCCTTCAGGTTTTTGAGGCTGTCAATCCTTACAGGAGGAGATGGCCTCATCTTTCTCCGGCAAAGGGGCTGATGGATTTAAACCCCAACCTTCTGGTTAGCAGTCCAAATCGTATTTAAGCAACTGCTTGGTAAAGTGCAGGGTCAGGAAAAAAAGAAAGACAATGAATTTGTACAGTGGCTGCAACAATGGGCTTTAGCGCATACTATGAGGATGGCATAGGATGAGGCAGCATTTTGTTCTGTTGTACGTGGGGTTGCCATGAGACTAGCTGGCATGTACAACAACACAATTTTAGAGAAATAACAGAAGATAAACTCCTCAATATGGCAAGAAATTATCTCTTTAATATTGTTTTGTCTATGAATTCTCACCAACTTTAGCTTCAGTTATGTGAAACATTTTCATTCCCTGAATTACAAGTTATGTTTTATTTTAAATATTTGTTTTTATTTCACTCCGAATAATCCTTCTTCATCTTCCTTCACAGGCTACTGCCTACATTTAAGAAATCCTTAAGTATTATATTTTCCAGAGCACTTTCTCAGATTCCTTTATGCTAGAATTTTCCCAGCATTCTGGAAATATCTCTAGTACTACACTTTCCATTACTTTTTAGACCAGTTCACGCTCCCAAGAATGTGTGCTCACTAAATATTCTGCCTTTTCACTCTGCCTAGGACCTAAAAAAAAAAAGCAAAACCACCCAATGAAGATCTGAGAGCTGATGGAAAAGATTATTCTGTACCTTGTTGATAGCAGGATAACATCCTCTGGATGATTTCTGGGACAGGTATGCCTAGGTAGATGGACAGCTGACGATAATCAAGGGAGATATTCTCAATGGGATTCTCTCTCACTTTGTCAATATCCTCTTGCTTCATTCCAAGACGGAGAAGAACAGCTGAAACTTCACTCCAAATTGAACTGAACTGTGATTCAGTGAGGCCATTCATCAAAATCTCACCAAGGAGAGTATCTCTGTATTTGCACAGCCTCAGGATGTCTGCAGACGTGGAGAGATCTGAAGACGGTGGTTCCTTACTCCAGCCTTTTGTGGGTGCAGGGAATACGTTCAAATGTTTTATGAGAACAAACAAGAGGTATAAGTCAAATTGTTTGGACTGTAGTAGTTCCTTCTTTGGGGGGTAAAGCAGATGCCATGCTCCACCCAAAGGGTGATTCATCCAAAGGTGGTTGTAATAGGGTTCCAGCACACTCCTGTGTTTTAGAAGCTCTTTTTTCAAAAGAGATGGTGGCATAGCCTCATCGAATATTTTCCGAACAACGTCAGTACCAGATATAATAATTATATGGAGCAGATGATAGAAATAACTATAATCAAGTTTGAAGATAGGGGTTTCATCTGAAAAACAATGTTGAGAAGTCAAGACATTACGTATTCATTCTTTCTATTTCTGCACGTGGTTTCTCTCACTACAACTTAAGCTCCTGCAGGATGGAGATTATTCCAAAAGAATGAAGTTCATTCAAGAACGTGTACTTTGCCAAAGCCATTGTACAAAACAGCACATGGCCATCTAACTGCTTTTTTAAAAAAAGAAAGTCAACAAAAAAACCTGTTAGTATTAAAACTAATCACAAAGATTAATCATCACAAACGGCTTTTTATCACACAACGTTTATTCAAGTTAGTGAGTTCTGGCAATCAAATAGCAATAAATAGGCATCTGGAAATTCTGAAGTTTGCCAACAATGGTAACCAATGATGTTTAATCAAAATTATGCCTTATTCTGATCAACACTGCACCATGTAACTTTCTACTGGATGAAAGAAAAGTTTTATGTCGGCACCGTCCACTAGCCATTTGACAGTAAACACAGGTGCCAGTCTGGCTGATAAAAGAATTTTTAATATTACTTATTTTTAATTAATTTAAATGTAAACATCTACATAGACTAGTTGTTATACTATTGGAGAGTGCAGATACATGTCAAGAAAATAAAGGGATCTACTGCCTTGTTACTCAAAGTGTAGTTCACAGATCACTTAAAAACCTGCTAGAAATCTCAGACTTCACCCTGGAACCATTAAACCTACACCTGAATTTTAATGAAACCATCAGGTAACTTAAATACATATTAAGGTTTGAGAAGCACAGACCTAATGAACTCCATGTTCTTCCTTCTTAAAAAAATGCTTTCAATTAGAAATGAGATAAGGCAAGAGATTCAGCTGTTTGGTATTTTTTTCTAGTTTAACTTTACTTCCAAAAGAGGAGAGCTGATATAGGTAGGTTAGAAAGCAAAGAGATGGTATTTTAAACATCAAAATATGTGTTCATAACCAAAATGTAGCTTAATTTCATCCTTCCTGATATAATGTGTCAAGAAAATTTAAAATTTGTACTTTTACTGGATGTATCTGGCATATAATTGGAGGCAAACAATGAGCAATCTCTGAACTGGTAGGTAAGGGGCTTGATGAAATCAGGTCTAGCCATTCCCCTAGTAAGAAACACTGGCCCAAACTACCCTTCCACAGCCAACTCTAAGCTCTCCAAATGCTGGCCAGCTGGCATTTCCTAGGTACCTAAACTCAGACCATTTGTCTCTGAGATGAAAATATTTATCCCTTCCATGTAAGGCTTTTCTCCTGATCATCCTATTAAAAGGAATACAGTGAGAGAAGAGTGGTTGACAGTGTACCTCTGCTGAACCCAGTGTCCTTGCTGGTCACAGCCAGGTTGGATACAGCGTGGTTCTCCACAGGACACCAACTGAATACGAAAGCCAACACCTCCTTCTGTCCACAAGTTCCAGCCTGCACTAAGGGCTGCTTGCTTGTGTTAAACCAAACCCAATGAATTCCAGATACAAATAAAGACTTAATAGTTAATGGCTCTGTGTTTTGTCGAGGAAATAACATACATTCATGTAGTTTTCAACAGGAGACATGTAAAAATAAAATAATACCTTTTGCACTGAAATTTAAACTGATCTTTGGTCTCAAATCAGTGTCAGTTCTTCTCAGAGACAGCAATCTTGGATAACTACAAATAGAAAAAATAAATTACAGTCATGATAATCAAGGCAAGTAAAAATTTCTGGCATCAGAATGGTTTAGAAAAGCTGCACATTTTCCTATGTATAAGTCAGTATTTGAAATAATTCAAAAGCAAAGGGAGTGTGGTATAGCAAGGTTATTGTTCAAAAATGGCTTTCCTCCACCATTGTCTTTGACTTTGCCACCAGGGGACATAGAAATACTGTATTCATAAAGGAACTGGCTGGTTTTTCATTCCACAAAGTCTAAATTGAGCAGGTTAACTGACAGACATTTGAGAATCTCACCACCAGCAAGAAAGAAGCAGTAGAGAATTCAGCATGTGGCCTTTGAGACCAGAGATTTCTGCACCAGTCAAACCAGGGTATATAGGAGAATAGCAGCAGACACAGTCGAGAACCAGAAATGCAACATGAGACAGAGCTGACCTTGGACTAAGGCCACACAAAGCCAGAGCCAGGGGACTGCACCCAAGCTTACTGGAGGACTGTGTGTAGGGAGGGGAGAAGGACTAAGAGAGCTTTGTAACGGTGGCCTAAAGCCACAAGAATGAAAACTGAAGGACCTGTGAGCACGTGACAGAAACTATCCTGACTGAGAAATTGTTTTCTGTCACCAATTTGAGTTGTAACCTCCTTATTGAGTCAGCAGAGGTCAGACTTGGCCCTCTCCATGTTGCCTTTGCTTTTATTATTGTTATACTAGTTTATTTGCAAAATCTGAATACATTGTTTTTCAGCCCAGATCCTTCCAATTTCCCTCACCCCCCCCCCAAGACCCATCAAATTATACAACCCCATGGTTAACCTGCCTCTCGCACATCCTCATCCCTCTACTTCCACACAATTCCCCCATGGATCCTCATACTCATTTATAATAATGGGTTTATGCAATATTTGTCCTTGTGGGGCTGAGTTAGTTCACTCAGCATAATGCTCTCCACTCCCTCCCAAGTTAGGTAATAATTTACAAAATCATTGCTCCTGCGTGCTGCATAGAATTCCACTGTATGAGTGTACCATAATTTTTTTAATAGGGAAAAAACCAAATGAACAAAAACTTCAAGCAGTGAAACCCCATGTTGGTGTCTTCACTGGAAATAAGAAGCAGGTATAATTGTTAGCATAATCTCTGATTGGCACAAATGGTTAAGCACTCAACTACTAGCTGAAAGGCAAGCAGTTCAAACCCACCTGGAAGCACCTCAAAAGAAATGCCCGGAGGTCTGAAGAGCTTTGAAAACCCTAAGGAGTAGTGTTACTGTGCAACACACAGAGTCACTGTGAGTCAGAACTAACTCCAAGCCAACTTGTAAGATGTGCCTTTATAACGGCCAGATTTCATGCAATCTCTAGAGCTGCAAAAACACTGGGTTGGAACATGAGCTTTCTAGAAAGAAGAAGACATAAGCCTTGGGAAGGAGTCTCAGCAGAAGGATTTGGAGACATGACAGAAAGTGAAGAGGAGAAATGGAGGAATACAGATGAGCTAGGTCAGCAGTAGAAGCACTCAGAGAAGCAAAGAAAGCAAATGTACCAAAAGAATCCCAAAAGAGGCTACTTTCATAACAAAGCCATGTATTCACAGAAACATAAGGAACTTATATTGTAAAAACCAGCAACCCTGAAACCACTCATGTTCCCATCACAGAATATTAATGCCAATAGCTATTTCCCTCAAAAGTACCAAAAATTTATTCCATGACTAGAAATCTATAGAAAGAAAAAAAGAGAAAATATTAATAAATAATCAAGTATACCATCTACCATCCTAATACAAAGATGCAAACATGAAAAAGTTAAGGTTAAAAAAAAAACAAAATGAAAATTTACTGCTGAATACTATGAAAAAGATGTTAGCATAAAAGAGATGAAAATGTGTGCCTTTGTTTTGAAATAAACCTTTCCATGACAAGATTATATAACAACACTAGAATATAAGTTTAAGGCATGCTGAGCTTTTGCTTTGTTGTTGTTGTTCATGGATTTCAAAGGACAAATATTTTAAAAGAAAACTGAAGAGCAAGCTTAGAAAACTAGTCTACAGTGTAGAGAGACTGCCAAATACAGTCAGAAATGCACAATCTGAAGAGGATAAAATTGATGAATGGGACCTTCTAAAGATTAAATCACTGTGCACATCAAAAACTTTTTCCAGCAAGGTGAAAAGAAAACCTACCGACTGGGAACCAATATTTGGCAATACCATCTCAGACAAGAGTCTCATAACAAAAGGTTACAGAATATTCCAGAGCCACCACAAGAAAAAGACTGAGAGCCCAATTACAAAATGGGCAAAAGACAGGGAAAGAATTTTCACAAAGGAAGATACTTGAATGGCCAACAGATACATGAAGAAATACTCAGAATCACTGGCAATAAAAGAGATGCAAGTCAAAACCATAATGAGATATCATCTCACTCCAGTAGTAGTGGTAAAGTGTAACAGGACAGCAAGTAACAAATGTTGGAGACGATGTGGCGAGATAGGAACTATTAAACATTGTTGGTAGGACTGTAAAATAGTACACCCACTCTGGAAGGCAGTTTGTCACTTCCTCAAAAAGCTGAACATAGAAATTCCGTATGGTCCAGCTATTCTACTGCTTGGAATATAGCCTGAGAAAATGAGAACTGAGGCATAGAGATTTTTTTACACCAGTGTTCATAGCAGTGTTATTCCCCATCACAAGAACACAGATACTGCCCAGATGTCCAACCACAATCGAATAGATTGAGAAATTATGGTACATTCACACAATGGGATACTATACAGCACACAGGAGCAATGATTTATTTGTAAATTATTACCTAACTTGGGAAAGCCTGGAGAGCTTTATACTGCGTGAAGTTATTTCCATAAGATCAAACACTTCATAAAAACATTATGGTAGAATGAGTATGAGGATCCAAGGGGAGCAGAGGGGTGAAGATTGGTGGTGAGGGGATGGGATAATCACAGGGTCACACAACTGGATGGGTGAGGGTGGTGAAGGTAATGGGAAAGATCCAGTGTGAAAAACAATGTATTTAAACTCTGTGAATAAGCCAGTATAAAAAAAATTTAAAAAGTAAAACTAAAGAATAGTATTTTCAAAAACATACCGCAAAAAAACCTCTGAAAATATTAACAAACTGATTCCTGAAATACATAAAAAAAGAGAATAGATCATGGCCAATTAGCATTTACACCAGGAAAGCAATATTTGAAAACCTACTGGTATATTTCAGTATACTAATAAGCTTAGATTAAATTTTTTTTTAGATTAAATTTTTAAGACAAAAATCTTATGTTCATCTCAACACTTGCACAAGCAGCATTAATTATTTCATTATCCATTGATAATAAAAAGTTTAGTAACTAGGGGAAGACGATATTTCATCAGCTTTATATGTATGTATGTTAGGAACAGAGTTTATGGTCAAAAAGTGCCGGCATCTCCCCAAAATTAAGAATTGAAAAGTGTCAGCTCATCTCTTGCATTCAACAGTACACCTACCTGAGAAGAGCCAGTTCCAGGAGTTAAACAAAAATCAATAAAAGGCATAGAGATTTTTGTAAGAAGAAATAAAATTGTATTTATTCACAGATAATATAATCTATGCAGAAATATTTCTTTTCAAGAAAGGGTCATTTTCACTCAAGAAGGAAAAGTATTCATGTAATTTCTCCTCATTTTAGCATTTAAATGACTAACGTAAGAAAAAGGGAGAAGGTAAGTGGCGGTAAATATAACCTTTCACACTTCTGATATTTCCTTCAAATTTATTGGAGCTTCAAGTGACAAGAGACACAGAGAAATAGGACACTGAAATATTTACGATTGCTTGGGGGGAAAAAGTAACAGAATATTTTATTTTATTTCAAGCTTACCTTGCTCCTAAATTCTCAATGGTTACATATTCATCCTTTCTCACAACTTCAAACTGCAAATAATGGGAAGAAACAGCACTAATGTAAGTCAATCGTCAAAGCTCTTTACTGTTAGTCCCTATTCTTAACTTTAGAAAGATAATAACAATGACAATAAAGTCATGGTGAATATAAAACAGAATAGAATACAAAACATAGTTCACCTTTAAAAAAGTAGTTCCCATTCCATACTTTTCTGGAAATGGTATGTACATAATATTTTTTTTACAAACTGTCCAACACCCCTCATTTATGTATAATGTGTGTGTTATACGAGTGTGTGCACGATTTCTATGGGCATATTATATGTGAAATAAGGTACAGGAGTTAAATGCTAAATCTGAAATACAAAAGTTCTATACAGTAAAAGTAAGATCAGACACGGTGTAAAAACTAAAAAATTCAGTAGTTTTTTAAAAAACACAATAGATACACTATCTAAGAACATTGTTGGTAACTGTCACTATATGAGATATTCTATAGCTACTCATTTAAAATCCTATCTTCTACGGCGTTGGCTGAAAATCGCCTGCGACTTCATCCATAGCCACTGGTGAGAGTCAGCGCCCAGAGCCATCAGGGGCTTTAAGCTCGTTGCCCACTGCTGTGGTGTGGACAGCTGAAACCCAGGCCCCGACAGGCACCTGGGGGGGGAACCCCAGACTCTACTTCATGCTCTGCTGGAGAAGGAGGGGCAGTCTCCTGTACCAGTCAGATCCAATTTGATGGTACACACACACACACACACACACACTTTTTCTTCTCCTTTTTTAAAAAAAGACTACTTCAGCCATCACAGCCCTCTGCCCGGGGCGGGCTGCCCTCGGCCCTCTGCCTGGGGCGAGCCGTTGCGGCCCTCTGCCTGGGGCGGGCTGCCCTCGGCCCCCTGCCCGGGGAAAGCCATCATGGCCCTCTGCCCGGGGCGAGCCATCGTGGCCTTCTGCCCAGGGCGGGCTGCGCTTGGCTCCCAGCTTGGGGCGAACCGCTGCGGCCCTCAGGAGCAAGAAGGCAAGCAGCTGTAACCCAAGACCACCAGTAAGGTGATAAAGCGTCCTCCCTTCCCCCCTTTATATCTACACCCCTGTTCAGCATGAAGAAGCCAGAGAGTTGGCATCCAATTCCCAAATCAATAAGACAATTGGTTTAATTACTATTGGAAAATGCTTGTCATTCCTCTGTAGCATCTGGTCCCCACTGGACCCTCATCATTTCCTTCACCTGCTCCCCCCACCGACCAAACTGTGCAGCTCTGCAACTGCATCCTGGCTCATCCCCACCCTTCTGCCCCCAACCCTCACCTCCCTGTACCCCCAATATGTTTTTCCCAATAAAAAAAAAATTATTTAAAAAAATTAATAAAAAAATCCTATCTTCTTGCTGTTTAATGTGCAGCTGAAGCAAATGCAAGCTACAGTGACCCTATAAACAAAAGATCTGAACCTAGCCTTATTCTGTGCCATCTTCTCCATTTCTGATATGCTTGAGTCTATGGTTATTGTCACTATGTAAATCCCTCTTGCTGAGGTTCTTGCTTTCCTGTGCTGTCCCTCTGTGATGTCATTTCCAAGCATGATGTCTTTTTCCCAGGACTGACCCTTTCCAATAAGTATGTGAGACAAAGCTTTGCCATCCTAGATATCCAGTAAATAAAGCTTCAAAGGAGCACCTACGTCACACCTTCTCCAAGACATACTTGTTTATTCTTTAGGCAGTACATAAGATATTCAATATTCTTCTCCCAACACCACAACTCAAAGGCATCACTTTTATTAGCTACCTTTATAGGATATTTTAATACTAAAGGGATTTCAAAAAATCTAAAATGATATTTAACTTTGGACAGCACAGAATTAGATCAGTTCTAATCATAGGTCCATGACAGACTCTTTTCATTGGTATAGGCATAGCCAACTTTATCTCTGTCACTCTTCTTCTTTGTTCCTCTCCCTTAATTGATTTTTTTTATTATACTTAAGGTCATATAAGTACTTCTATGGCTATGTCAGTACATCAGAATTATCATGAGGCTTAGATATCATGAAAAAGGGCTAGAATCTTGCTTAATTTGCAGAATTGCAGATCTGTTTTAAGTGAAAAGTATCAGTAAAGTGAAAGAAAGTAAGATAAACATACTCACCAAAATTTTAACAATTCCAGGTATATCACATTCTAGCATCCTTACAATATCACCTGTACATTCTTCTTTCAAACATTTCTTTGCACAGAAACTCTAAGATTATATGAAGAAAGAGAAAATAAAAGAGACAAAATATTACTTTTCAATACATAAGCAGATGTTAGTAATTGAAAAAGTCAAAAACAAAAATAAACATTTGAGACCTGCCCAAACACGGTCCATTTCACATATCAATGGATGTTCTGTAGGAAATGCACCTTTTTCCTCCTTCATCACTTCTACTTTTAGATCTTCAGTTAGCTATACTACTGTCTAAAATGTTGTCAGTGCCCCAGGGAAAAGCATTTCAAAGAAAATGTACTAATTAAGTGAGCATAAAAAAAAAACAGCCAAACATCTATCAGATAGATGATGATTCTAAGAAAGAGCAAATAGTCTTTATTCTGACTGTGACCTTGAGCATTTCCTCTGGTTAAAGATACTTTTACTTCTTTCTGAAATTCCGCAACAAAAAAAAATCTACTCCGTTATGGAAAAAAATTAAACATCCTAGTAAATATTTGCAGAATGTTTAAAGAAATTAATAATGATAACTTACACAATAATTTTTTGCAGTTTACAAGGTGAGTTCACATTTTTATCTGTTAACTGAAAAATCAGGTCTGGAAGTGTTAACTATTGTCAATGTATAGCTTTGAAAACTTAGTCCCAAAGAGATTACAGTACTAGCTTAATATTTTGTTATTTTAAAAAACAAAACAAAAAACCTAGTAAGTTGCTTAAACTGGATTTGAACTTACATTTCATAACTCTTAAAGCAAATGCTCTTTGTACTATTCTATAATTGTTTTAAAAGCATTTTCTATATCTCTATATTCACATAAGATATCATTCATTATACATTCAAACATTTTAGATCCAATTTTAATATCTGGGCTTATTACAGAGAATTAATTAAAGCTTTGAGATTCTGTTTTAATTTTAGTGGAAAAAACCCTGATTATAGTTATATGGCTCTGAGTAAATATAAATAACTCCAATTATATTTTTGAGAATTGTAGCACATTTATAATTTTCCCCTAGCTTTAAAATAAAAATGATACTTAAAATTGTATCAACTATTCTATGTGCTTTTAAAGCAATTCTGTTCTTTGATATTTATGTGACTATTTGCAACAATACTGCTATTCTTATAAATAAGCTTCTATAAGAAGGTACCAAATCCATGTCACCACTGAGAGATGCAATCTAACACAGTATGTTCTACAAAGGGTTGCTTAATAAATTATAGTGATGATGAACAGGGAAGCAGGAAGAAAGTCAGCTGATGAGAAAGGAAATGGAACAAAGAATGAAGAGAGAGGGTTTAAAGTGGAAGAAAGGAGCAGAGTGGGGGAAAAGGGGGAAAGGCAGAAGAAGAAATGCAGCAGTAAAGATTTAAGGAGGAAAAGCATGTCATTTGCCAATTT